AAAAAAAACAACCCCCAAACACCCCCCCCCCCCCCCCCCCGCCTCCCACCGCAATAATAAACCAAAAAGACTAGTGGGTGGAAGAGTAACACGTTAATGACTTTTGCTCAAATTGCTTCCATCTTGATCACATTTTCATAATTAGCACCATCATCTACAAATCTTTCCGCCCTGGGCATCTGACACAGACAGGCTTCCCAAGCGATGTGTATTCTACTTATTAGGGAGGGGAACACTTATAGGTCTATCATTAATGGTTCCTTTTCAAATGAAATGAATGCGACCTCCACGGAAATATCAAAGGGCTGTAGCTACCTTGTCTCACTTAGTACAACACTGAATAGCAAGCAACCTTAAGTCGTTTTGCTCTAGTCAGACATCTATACAATAAAACATAAGCCCACTCTTGTATATTTTAAGTTGTCTGGTGACCATTTTTGAAAACAAAAAGGGTCCCTTTGATGTGGTCTAATTCTAACAGGGGGTGGGACGTCAGATGTGGTCTACCGATTCTTTCTGGAAATATTTTTAATTATGCCCCAAAGCTTCTTGTAGCCCCAAAGTAATAATCAGAGAGCAGTTTGAGTCTGTTACTTAATGTGGAGGGGAGAATAGGCTCTAGACCGTATGTAACTAAATTAGAATTACAACCGATAATTAATTCGCTCGAAATGGGTGATTTTAAATGGAACATGTTAGGTATCTGTTATTCTTTATGCTCGATCTTGCTAACGGAATATTTCTAAGCCTTCTTGCAGTGAAGCCATAAAACCAGCATTTCTCCCGGCAAGTCATTGGGTAAAAGTGAGTATTTGAGACAGATGTTTTTATCCTCACAAGCGTGCGCGCTGTAAGCACACAAAGCACTTGTATACTTAACTGATTACCCTCGGAGAAGGACCATATATTCAGATATGTGCGTGTAAGATCTTTATGATAAAGCAATGCATATTTCTATTTAGATATTGCATAAAGGTAAAGAGCGGGGGAAAAATACGCATAATTCTGAAAGCCCCCTCCCCCTTAAAAATACTAACTTTAACCTGTAATAAACTTTACAAACACGCATTTTGCAACGACGCAGCTTTAATGCTGCTGTGAATCAGGATCTGATTTTACTACTCGGTCCAACGCCTCTGCTGCTGCTGCTGCAGCCGCCCCAGCCCCTCGCTCCTCCGGCCCCCAGCGCTGATTTACGACCGGCCCGTTACTCTAACGAGAAGGAAGTTACAATTTGTAGAGCAATAAATACCGAGGCGGTAGGTGGAGCCCCCAGCAGGAAAAAAAAAAAAAATCGGTCTCCTTCACCAATTAAAAATCCATCCTAGCTCCAATGTGGACCGTGGGAAGGTCTCAAAGAAAACACAGCCTCGGTGATTATTAGGTGTTTGTTTGCAATGTGCTAATGTCATCTTCGGAACATAACTTTCCTGCCCGATGCAGTTCGCTCACACCTGCTGGTATTGGGAAGAGGTTATAAAATTCAATTGATATTATTCAACTATATTTTGTTTTCTTTGTGGTTTCCTAGCGGGGCTATTCTGCACCCTGCGAACAATATAATCTTGTTTAAATGACTTTCCAGACCACACAGCATCACATTACCCTGTTCTATACGTGTAGGCAATACTGTTTATTGTATTGTACACTATTAACTCCCAGAAAGCAGGATGAAGGGGGAGTGGAGGAGGAAAGCTCCGGGGAGTAAATTCATAGCTTCCAAGCTTCAGGTGGCTTTCTCAGGTGGAGAAAATAAGATTTAGATCATTTTGAATGAAAATAGATAGAAAGAATTCTCTAAAGGAAATGTTAAACACATAACAGGCATAGCATCATTTTTCCCTCTATCCACTCATATGAAATGTTTTTCATGTTCATGGTTACTTTTTATGGTTTATGGACAAACAATCTGAGGTCTCCAGATTTAGGATGATACAGTTGATTACATACACATTATGTGAGCTACTGCTATATCACACTTCAGACAATAAATTAATTTAGAATTTTTAAACTTTTGTATTTAGGTTAAAAGCATGTGTCATTTACTGATATCATGCAGATCTGCTAACTTATATTTTATATTATTCTTATTATTGTTATTGTTATTATTATTATTATTATTATTATTTTGACATCAAGATGCAAATGCCTAAGTTCCTTACTCCGGGAAATTTCTACTAAAGTTGGTGTGCTAGTTTCGGCAAGAGTTTCTTTGGCTGAGGACGGAGGGATTAATCCTTCATTCAAAGTCCATAGAATTCACTAAGAGCCTTTTCTTTAATGCTGGTGAATTTGGATCAGGCCCAATCTTATTACTAGAAAAATTATTTTCCCTTGTTCTCAGATAATCTCTTAATGGTTTACTGATTGAAAATATTCAAAACAACGAATGCAGCAACATTAAACAAAAAATTTAAGTCTCTTTCTTCCCTCTTGCTTACTCTTTTTCAATATAAGAAACAAAGGAAACAATAGAAGAAATGTAACAGTACTGAAATATGTGCGACGGTGCAGTTTAGATGACAGTCACGTGGCTTGTAAAGATTTGTGGCAGGCTCAAACCCAGCTACAATAGGGATATTCAGACCAATACAGAACTGTAAACTGCAGCCATGAAAATAACTAAACACAAGGGATATGGGGATGTCTAGAAGAACAGAAAGGAAGTGTAAAAACAATGTAAT